AACCCCCCCCCCCCCCCCAAAAGGGTATATATACAATATAATGAAATTTGAAGAAAAGTATTGACTATTGAGTATCTTACTATCATAGTAGTATATACTAAACTCCTTCCGTCTCACAAAAAAAGAAATCTCAGTTTTCTTTTTTATTTTCAAAAATAATTTTTCAAATTTTATTGTTTTTCTTCAAAAAAAAAGTTTGACCAAAACACTCTTTTTTCTAAGTAATTTTTAACATCCCACTCTTTACAATCCTACAACCTACATCTTTTATTTAGATATATACTTTATTTAATTTATGTTAAATTAAAATAATCAAAATAATCTGAGACAAAGAGAATACAAAATATAAGTTCATAACTAAACTGCATGCACTACCCCATCCAACAATTTATTTCCTAGGTAATGTTTCTATGAAGTATCTTCTTTTCAAAGTTAATTAAGATGATATGTGCATGTAAATCATTTGGATAATTCAAATTAAATAAACAAAATCATACGTAGTAGTTTTATAAAATCATTTAATTTTCACGAGTAGGCCAAACCAACAACTTACATACACTCCACATGTGACTCGGTGAATTATTAAAATAAAAGTTATCATGAAGTTAACATTGACAAACTTCATGTGTTTTGAGTAAAATTCAATTAAAAAAACATTATAGGTGTGCCAGAGACAGTAGTTATTTGTTAGATTTATAACCAATTTTACTTTGTGTGTCAGTGATACACTTGATGTGCAAGTTGTGGTGCAAATTACAAATTTACTGTACCCTTAATTACTTTTTTCAAACCGTTATATAGTATTACGCCTAATTAGCAAGACAAATTTTCAGAACCATTGTATTAGAAAAAAATTGCGTTACTTAAAAAAATAGCTCTTCATGGCAAATATTGGTTGACTTAAAAAAAATAGCTCTTCATGGCAAAATCATTAAAAAAATTGATTTAACCTTTTGTTTTTACTTTCTCTAGCCTAGAAAATGTTTTGTTGTTAGTAAAATCTTAAAAAGACATACCTAATTTAGTACTGTAATTTGTAATCTTACACCCCCCCCTCTTTTTTTTTGAAAACCCTCCTATTTTTATTTTTTGTTTTCAATAAAACACTTTCACTTTTCAATAAAATGACTAATAAATCTAAATAAAATTATTGCAATATACTTCATTAATTTTGCATTGACATGATAATTTATTAAAGTGATTTCTCTCTTTTTTTCTCTTCAATACTAAGAATACAATTAGAAAGTTAAATTATAAAAATAATTTACCAAATTTCAAAATGGGAAATGTTTTAAATAACAGGGGTAAGAGTTATACAAAAAAAGAATAGTGTAAGAAATTAAGAATAAAACACTACACACACATGGACACAAATGCCATGGGTGGCCCGGAGAGTGTGCAAAGTGACCAACCGACCCTAAAATTTTAGGGCCCTATATTTTTAAATTCTTCGTTAATTTTGAAACATAAGTATTCTAAACTAACAAAATACGGACAAAAATGTAAATTTCAGACCAGACCAATTTTTTTTTTCATTTTTGGAGGACGGCCCTGACAAATGCCACCGATGGATGATCGTTTTTGGTCAAAGAAAAAAGACTGATATATTAGGTCAAAAATATTATTTTAAAAAAATGAAATTTTCTACTCTGTATTAAGGAGTATAAAGAAAAACAGTCCATGGACCTGTGATCACCTCTGCCAGAAACCAACTGCTGTATACTTCCAACAGCCTCCGAATAAAAGTGGTATAATATCCAGAAAAATTAACATGAAACAAATTTAGAAAATACTTCATAGTATTTCCTCCGTTCCTCATAAATCTTCCTATTATGCGTAATGAAGTTTGATCGATTTTTTTGTTAATTTAATTTATTTGATTGTAGGTGTAAAATATTAAATTGAAATATTTGCACTAAATAGCACTAAAACTTAAGTCATTTCTCTAAATAGCACTTAAACTGTTTTATTCCCTAAGTAACACTTAATAATGTCTATAATGTCCAGTGATGGCTAATATAGTAAAAATTACATGAAATTTTTTAATAAAACAAGACGTGACAAGACTATATTATATTATTTTATAAAATGAGTAGTTAAATAAACAAACAATCTGAGTAAAATTTTCCCTATAAACAGTGTTTGGAAAGATCAATGGGTAACAAAGGGAGTATTTTAATTTACACTACACTGATCTAATTAAATGTTACCGAATCCCCCATAACTTTTTTTTACTCGTGTGTTTTCATCGGTTATTTGATAAAATAAAATATTTTTGTCGCATTTTATTTTGTAGAATTTTTTACGTGCATACATAATGTTTAGAGTAATGCTAAAGTCACATACTAAACATTATATTTACAAAATGCACAAACTGACGAAATATGTTAAAAATTTAAATACACAAATGGTAAGTTTGCAATCAACTTTTGATGTACTACCTCAGCTCTATCCCTGAATAATTATTCAGTTTCAACTTTTTGCAATTAATCAAGCTTAACCTTTGACCTATAATTCAATAAAAACAATATGATACACTAAAAAGTTAAACCATTATCTGATCTTGAAAATATTTTAATTTATAAATAAATCTAATAAAATTATTTCTGTATCAATACTTATTCAGTTTTAGTTAATTAAATTTACTATTTTATCAAATTTACTATAAAAAATTAAAATTAAACAAATAATCATAGATATAAAAAAGCACAATGATCAATTAATTAGAAATGAGGGGAATACTTTGTAATTATTCCGTATATTTTAAGACTAATCAACACTCAACCTAGCTTCAAAGTCCAATCTTTTCCTATATATCCACATAACATGAAACACATTTCACACAAAAAAAATTAAAATGGAAATAATAAATTGAATAAATCACATAGATAGCATTTTATAATGAAGAAGAAGAAGAAGAATATATACTTACAGGAGGAGATGAAGAAGAAGGGTTATTATTATTATGATGATGATTAATATCATAATTAATATTGTCTGTTGAAACAATAGAAGCAGAAGAAGCCAATAATAAATGCTGGTTAGCAGTCTCCACTTTGTGCTTCAACTCCTCTATATACTTTGATGCATCTCTTATGATTGATGTCTCACTCATCTGTCCATCCATACATATATATATGATTAAATAATTAAACATTAATTATTTAATTAATAACACTTGTATATCTAAATATGATGATGAAAAACATACATATATATATACATGATATATGTAAATGCATTGATGAAAATGAAAAAAATTATATATTAATTATTACAGCTTGAGAGTTGGTAACAGATCGAAGAAGCTGCATTTTCTCATGCAGATTAGTATTATTATCATCTCCTTTTTGCTCATCCCTTGGAACCATTCTTTGGATATATATATCCTCCTCCTCCTCCTTCTTCTCCTTCAATTCCTGCCACTCTTCTCTCAAGACTACAATAAGTTGTATTTATAAATTAATTGTAGAAGCGGGTAGACTTATATATAAAAATATATATATATATAGAAGATGAAGATGAGGAGAAACTTATAATTAGCACTCGTGAATAACTCTATCCTCTCTATGTATGTCCGGGTAAATGTATTTATATATTCTGCCCCTCAAAACATTTGGACGTTTTGATTTTTAAGGAATTTAAGGAGAGTGTATTTTGATGTTAGTTTATAAAAAAAGAAATATTTTTTGGATGTGATGGATAAAAGTAAGATTTGATAGGTATGTTAAGAATTAATATGGGTAAAAGTGACTTTTTAGTAGAAATGATGAGAAAAGTTTTTTTGACAAATAAAAAAAGAAAAGCGAAAGATTTTAATAGACGAAGAAAGTATATCACACTTGATTGACCCCTCTAATCTTTGCACCATTGAGATCCCATCCTTTTTCTTTTACACTATGTTTGCTTCAAGGAATTTGAATGAAAATTGAAATGAAATTGGAATGGAAAAATAGTTTTTCTTGTTTGGTTAGAGAGAAAAAGAAAAAAGAAAAAAAATGAGAAGACAAAATGTACTAAATAGGGAAAACTAAGTTTCTCCCATTTTGATGAAGAAAGTGAGAGAAAATCATTTTAGTTCTCCCTCCTTATTTAATTGATTAGTCAACCATTGGCGGTTGGCGGTAAGCGGCGGCACTCCGCTGGCCGACGACGACAGATGATAGTGTGGCAGTGATGGTGTGATAGTTGCACCCTTACAATGTGGTGAGTGTGAAAGTGTTACAACGGCCGTGTTACAACGGAGTATTTTTTTGGTATTTCTGTAATTTTTACTCTTATTCAAAGAGTTATCCGTTATCCCATATTAATAAAATTTGGATATATATTATTGTCAGTATCACATACTCCCTATATCCTCTAAATTACATGTTAACATATACTACCTCCGTCCCGCTATATTCGTCCAGTTTTGACTTTTGGAACTGTTCATCTAAGTACTTTGACTAATCAAATTCTCTCAATGTGTAAGCCTAAATATAGTCATGTGTGATCTTGTTTGATTTGTCTTAACATATAGATTATTAATATTTAATTTTTATAATTTTTTAATATACAAATTACAAGATAAAATGAATTAAAGAAGTGCATTGGATAGTGTGTAAAAATGAAAGTGGACAAATACTTTGGGACGGAAGGAGTACTTCGTATATAAAAATCATTTATGAGTCTGCAATTGCAATTTTAAGTTTTTACTTAATTTGATTTTTAATATGGTGTCAGAGTTTTGATGACTAAAGCCACATTTTTCTCAACTTATTTTGTTACTTATTACTAATTCTTATTGGAATGAGACCAGATCAGACCAGACCAGATCAAAACTTATTCCAATCACAGCTGAACCAATCAGATAAGGTGCAAAGAACATGGCCTAAAAGGTCACACCCTCAAATCTCATTGTCGAGCCTACAACCAAAAGTTTGAACATTTAATTGAGTTGGTTACGATCCTTGACAACATGATAAACTAGTTTTCCAAAATGTTAATATATGTTATTTGAATTTTTTGCGCCATTTACACCGAACTCTTCAAAAATTGAATGGATTCATGCATAGTGAATTTTAAAAATTGTACCAATAGTCTTTAAAATTTTAAAAATGTTGTATCAATTGTTCCTCTGTTCTAGATTTGAGAGTACGTTAATTTTCCGCTCATTCAGTGCAAGTGTGGATTTATCTAAACTCATATATCTCACGTTAGTTCTGTAAGAGTAGATAATTATTGAAAGAGTAGATAATTATTCCTGTTTTAGCCGTTGGTATCAGAGTACAGGCATTAGTCAGTCAAGATTTTCACCAATGATCAACTTTTTCATTAATTTATGACATCTTCATCAAGCTCCAATGCATATATTGATGAGCGTATGATTAACGCATTCTCAAATGTGATGCAACGTTTTTAAAAATTCGTAGACTAATGATGTAACTTTTAAAGTTGAGAGGAGTCCTATCAAATTTTGAAGAATTTGAGATCATGTGGTACAAAAACTCTTCGTTATTTTACCTTCAATCTTTAAGGGTCCGTTTGGTACACGGAATTTATGGAATTGGAATTGAATTGAAATTAAAATTTCATGGGATTCAATTCCATAGAATTGAATTCACCAATTTCAATTCATTTTTTGCACTATCTATTCCAAATCCACATAATTTTTGTGCTACCAAACATGAAAATTGGAATTGAAGTCCTCAATTCCAATTCCATAGTTTGAATTCCGTGTACCAAACGGGGCCTAAATTTTTTTAAATGAACGAATAAATAAAGAGTATTCTAATGTCAAAAATGACAAAGATTTATAAGTGCGGTCGAAATGCAGCATAAATCTGGGTCCGTGATATTTCAAAATTTTTAATTTAAGTATTGGGTTGGTTGACAATTTTTATTATTCGTATCTTTGTTTATGTCTCAAACTCGAACAAATTACTGAAATTCGTTCTTTCTAGCGGTAATAAACTACATAATAAAATGAATTTTAGATATTTTAGGTGGAAGTAAAAGTATTTTATCGAATATAGAGTATATTAGTATATATCATTGCCATTATTAACTCGAATTGAAGTATAAAAGGAGTTGAATTGTTTTTTATTTACAAGTAGGATAATATTCCTAATATTTTACTCTTTATATGTTCAATTCATATTAAGTACTCGTAAGTCGTAAAGTAAATATCTCAAAGCATGCCACAAATAATAATGCCCTTAAAGGAGAATATGGCCATATTTTCGGGATAAAGGAGTACGTAATATATGAACGTGTGTGCGTGTAGGGGATAAACTTTTTCACAAGCACTCTTAATTAATTACTCCCTTCATCTATCTTAAAAATAATTTTCCACTTTAATTTACAAAGTATAAATCAAATTATTTTTAATTTAACTTATTTGAGTATAAGTGTATATTTTAAAAGTAAAACTTATCCATACCCGTAGTGTGTGTGTGTGTATGTATGTATGTATGTATGTATGTATGTGTATATATATATATATATATATATATATATAGAGTTTGGTTCCGGTGAGAATGAGATCTTATGAAAGAAATAAGAATGAGTTCCCACCGTTAGATCTGATCCTACTGCACCAAGTCCTCATGGGCTTTTTCGGCTTTACACAACTCAATCTCATCTCAATTTATTCTCTCTCCTTTCTCTTTCCGTAAAATCCTCTCACTCAGTCAATTACCTTCTTCCTCTATCACTACTAACTCTTCTTCTCTCTTTGATATTCTTCAATCTTTGCCATAATTAACAATTAATTTCTTCCATCTTAGGATTTTAATTTTTTGGTGGCTCAATTTCATGAATTCTCTGATTTGAATTCTTTCTTTCAACATGGCGTGAATCGGCGTTGTGAGCTTGGCATCCGATTGACGGTTAATGCTAAAACAAATCATTGAAAGGTAAGGTAGTGGCTGGATTTTGCTTCCATCCAATACAATTGGGTTTTATTTTCTTTTTTCTCTTTCTTTTAAATAATTTAAATCAATTTCTTGTGTAAATTAGTGTTGAATCATTAGAGTTTATGTTTGCATGCCACATGTTTGATAAAATGTCCCAAAGATTTATTTGGTGTAATCTACTTCCAACATTCTATTTTGGGTCAATTTCATATTTTATTTTTTGTTCTAGCATTTTGATTTCATTTTGTGCATTCTTCTTCTAGCTTTTTAATATCGGTGATGTCCAAATTTTTTTCATTTTATATTTTATATTTTGTGCACGTTACTGCATTCTATTTATATAGTAGTGCATTTGAATATGCAAAGACTACACTTTTTATTTTTACACAATATCACTTTGGTTGGGTAGAAGTTTATTTTTATGCTTATAAAGGAACTTAAAGATAAATATCATTTTGTATGCATAAAAATGCAATGGTGCAAGAAACATATCTTTACACATAATTCTTGTGTGGCTTTTTTTCTTGAGGAATATAACCAAGATGATTATTTACATAGATATATTAATCCTCACACTATGCATTATACGAAATACTTAGTACATTATATGAAATTAGTATTTCATATTTTGTAAAACCGAGTCTAATATGTAAATCAGGTATTGTGTATATTTATTCCGTTTCATTAAGGCCTTTAGAAAATACTTGCAATATATGTGGATTATGCACACCCAACTACTCTGATGCATCTATATTATGGCTTCTTGCTTCTCAAGTTGAATCAAAATTATGAGTAAGTAAGAGTGGTGTTAGTATACAGAACTACTCTTTTGGATATTGAAAGAATAATTATTTTAGTTTTTCATGCGTCTTTCTCAATTTACATCATGTGGTATATTAGTATATATCAGAGCCTGACCTCCGCCATGGTGTTGTGACCAAATCTGAGCCAATTAATTGAGCCAAAACAAAAAATGATGGCCCCTTTTCCAATTTCTCCATGGTGCTTCAATTTCAAAGAAAAAAAGTTCCATCCAATTTTCAATAGCACCTTTTTCAATTTCTTCATTGTGCTTCAATTTTTCTACGGCATAACTACACTGAAAATCCCCAAAACGGTAGCAATTGATTTGATCAACTGATAACGGCGGAAAGGTTGAGGGCCTCTTATCTTTGTGCTCGCTCCGACATGGTTTTGCGTAAACAATTTATAATTTTACATTTTCTGTGCAATCAACTACTTCTGTTTTGCATGTTTCCTGGTGCACTATAACTATTTGTGAAAACTCTCTTGTGTGCCATTTTGTCTTTTACAAAATTTTAATGCTAATAGTTTATGTTATTGTGCATTATCACTATTAAGGTAGTGCATTTAGATGCGAAGACAATGCATTCTCAAAATAAAAGGATAATGTATTCCCTATTACTGTGCATTTTTAGAATCAAAGTAAAATGCATCTATTTTGATGAAATCATACTAACCAAAGATGATGCATTTGTATATTCTAAATCGAAAATTTTATGCAAACAAC